CCCTGCCAATGTGCTCAGTGGTTGTGCATCGACCTATGAACCAGGAGGTCACAGTTCAATTCCTAGTCAGGGCATATACCCGGGTTGCGGGCTCGATGCCCAGTGTGAGGTGGGCAGGAGGCAGCCAATCAATGATTCTCTCTCATCATTGATGTTTCTACCTCGCTCTCTCCCTCTCCTTTTCTCTCTGATATCAATAATAAAAAAAGAGCTAGCTTTGTTGTAAATTTAATAAATATTTAATTTTGAACTGTATCCTTTTATTCTTTTTTTAGCATCCTAAACTATTTGGCATTTTGGGTGAAGCAATACACCTTAGTTGAAACTCAGTCAAATTAGAAATTACTTCATCATTCTCAAAATATTTATAACTAAACAACCAGTAGAACTAAATATTTTCAGGGTCAAGAATTACCAGAAAACTATTCCTTAGATGTTACAAACCTGGCATCTCCTTTAAAAGGCTGACTGACCCTGTCATCCATCCTGCGTAAGGAATTAACACTAACTTTGCTTTTGAAAAACAAAAAAACAAAACAAAACAAAAAAAACCACAAAATGACTTTGGTATCCCTGAAATATGATCCCCATGCTATTTTTTTCATTGGTTATACAGAGTTGTATGCCTCAATGATGTAGTGAAATTCATATTTGAGGGGTGAATTTGTATTTAGGAACTCACAACTTAAAAATAGTGCCTATGTAAACCAGGAACAGCAACTAAAATTGATGTGATGAGCATTGTACGTAGCTGCTGAACATTTATTATTATTCCTTTATAAAAATAGCAGCCCTATAATTAGAGCCTCTCCTACATCAAGGACTTAACTTGCCTGCTGTGTGATCTGCATACATTCTTTCTGAGGATATTATGTTTCTCAAAATATAATATAATTCCATTAAAATATTTAATTTTTAATTAGGAAATGTAACAAGTTATGCTTGATTAAAAGGCAAAATTATAATTTAAACTTTTAACAAGACTTGAAAATAAATAAAGTAGTAAAAAAGTAAAGAAAACTGTGATCTCATTTCAGAATGATAGATCATTCCTTACCCCAGTATAGGAAATTTTAGTAAGTTCTACAGTCTTTTAAAAATCCCTTCCTTTTATCTCTTTGCTGGAATATCAAAGGTTATATACAAAAAGGTTAAGGCAGAGAAGGCTTATAGAAAAGGAGACTTCCTTAACTGAATAAATGGTGCCATGTACACTCATCTATCCTTATGCCATAGTCTATACTACTTATATTGACATTTGTCAGGTAAGGGGAACTTCTGTTAGGGGTGTGAACACAATGTCAGAAAATCTGCTGCTGGTGGGTGGATTTTTATGGTTTTAGGGCCCAGTTCTGCCTGAAATCTGTCACAGGCAAGCTATTATTTCAATATGGTTAGAAGCGTTATAATAATTGCATATTATATCTACTTAGCAAAATAGTTTCAGAAACAAATAATATGAGTTGTATTTATACTCCAGTAATAGTATTAAATCCAGGTTCTACTATGTGAGTATAATGAGGTTTTACCAGATCTGCTCTGTAAATAAAAACCAGTTCTGACTGAGATGAATTATGTCGGTCAGGATCATGCTATCATGACCACAGGATTTAGTGATAAACCTTATCACATTACTTTGCATACATTATCTTAAATTATATTACTTTCAGAACATGCATGAAGTTGTATAAATAGCTCAGTTCTGGACATACTATACCTATTAATTTTCTTTTGGGTCATGCATACAGCTTTCAAAAAATCACACAGTTCTGAAAAATTCTTTGGAAATATAATTTATGGATAGTCTATAAATTTGGAATTGTTTTCATGTCCATTACTTACACACACATGAGAAATGAAAAATTAAAACTAACATTTAATTGTCTTAAGCCCGAACTACTCTGATGGTAAATCATGTTAAATAAACATGATTCCCATCGTCTAGGATTGTGTTTTTTTTAAAATATTCTATTATACCTCTTTCTGTATATTCAGGATCAGGTTTTAGCATTGGTTTATATTATATACTTTGGCAAGACAATTGTCAAACAAATTTTTAGAAATCTAGTGTTTGGATTATTTTTAGATTCATTAAAAATCATCTAATGTGGAGAATCAGAGGATGGGTGATTTTTTTCTACAGGCTGAACAAACATTTCACACCTTAACACATAAATCTAAATTTCAGTAGCATGATAAGAAACTTAAATACTCAATGTTTAGTCATGTCTTTATTTTACCTGTGTGCTCTTTTATATAAGAAATTATCTGATCTTCCAATACCTAATATAAGAGAATCACTTATATATTAGGTATTGTCAAATTATATATAATCATATAAACATACAATATTTATAATTAAAACATTAAAATAGTATGTAACATTATCCACTGTGTGATCAGTTACAATGAGACAGGGACATAGAAAGAGGAGTAGATGAACTGTTTTCATAGCTTTTCAGGTTTTAACCTTTTTCCTAATGATTCTAAAATCTTAGGTATTGAATACCAAAGACAAATTTAAACATTTAAATATAAGCTAGAGTGCATGTTGAAACTTTAATAGGAATCCCATTTTTTACTTTTTGCAGAGTTGATAGTTTACATCAGAAAATGTCTAATTAAGCTATAATAGAAAGTTTAAAAGCAAAGCCTACTTTTTGCTGCCATTGCTTTACTCCTCATGGGAACAGCCCCTAAGTTGTAATGTCAGTCATTTTTGTGAAGAGATACACGTTTTGAAGACATTTGAAAGAGAGCACTGTCATGGAAAAGGGAGATATTTAGGTAAATTGAATAGTTTTGGAAAGAAACAAGAAGTACAGACAGACGGAAGCAGTCTATACCATGGAAAGAGTAGAAAGTGAATAAAATAGGCAATCATGAAAACTAAAGCGAGAAAAGAGAAACTGATGTCCTAGAAAAAAAAATACAATTTTGAGGTTTAAGGCATGTACAAACAATTCAATGAGTTTTCCACCCAAGCATTTCATTTTTGTGTTTAATTTGTAATTCAGTCTCCAGAAACATTCCTTACCACTCGAGGGATGTAGGAGTTTTCCATTGGAAATCATATATTATGTTAATATTTGGATTGTTTTAGATGCCACGCCTACTTTTACAAAGATACACATTTGTTTGGTGTTGGCTAAAGAGTCATTATCCTCGCCTGTATGTGTCTGTTTCCCCGATCTGATGATGGAGCTCACGCTTTCTTGTTTTTAATCTTTAGTATAGCATACATAAAGATCAGTACAGAAGCTGTGAGAACGTCTCTGCCAAATCATCAGATAGTGATGTCAGTGATGTGTCCGCCATTTCCAGAACCAGCAGTGCCTCTCGCCTCAGCAGCACAAGCTTTATGTCAGAGCAGTCTGAGCGCCCCAGGGGTAGAATCAGGTGAGTCAGCAATACTGTTTCTATAAACTGGGTCTTTGCCCACGGTATAAAAATGCAACCAGCTTGCTGAATATATTTGCTGAAATACAGTCTGGGTCAAGTAACAGAAACACTGACATTTCATTAAAGTAACAGACTGAAGTGGGTTGAACATTTAACTATTGAATATTATAAGATATAGGTGATATATATAGTCATCGTCTTAAAGATAGCTCAGTCACATTTGCAGGAATTTCCTTCTGGTATGATTAAATCCACAGAGATCCTTTAGGCCAGCGTCAAAGTTTTTCCATAAAGAGACAGGTAATAAGTATATCAGACTACACTGGACACTGTCTGTCACATCTGCTCAGCAACATCATTATACTGGAGTGTGAATGCTATGTAAACAAATGAGCATGGCTATGTTCCAAAACATTTATTTACAAAAAATAAAATAAAACAAAACAGAAAGCCAGCTGCATTTTCCCCAGGGGCTGTAGTGTGTGGTTGGTTGGCTTTCAGAGTAGGACTGAGTGGATATGATAACAAAATTCACACCCTTTTTTACATTATGAGCTGTAAGAAATTTACATGTTGTTTAAATCACCAAGAGGGCTCTTGTGTCCTTCCAAGGCCAAGTACCCTGCTGAAAGGGAAAAGAACCCAGGAATCGAAGTGCCACATTCATTTAGTAAAGCAGACTCACTATGTATGGACAACCCATATTTTATATTTGTTCTTAACTAGTTTACAGAAAGAGAAGTTTCCCTGAAGGAATTTTGGGTTTCATGAAAAGCCCAAGAAATAAATGTTCAAAACAAAAGTAACTGCATTACTAATATTCTGAAAGTCTGATAGTACCACACATTTTCATGATGTGCAGTGGAATGGATCCTAAAACATTCCTTCTTCCTGGATTTCCCTGCACTGAGCTCATCTTTTGAAAGAAATTGAGAGTAATTATCTACTATTAATTAACAAAATCATACTCTGCTCATCTACGTGTGCAATTTCAACTGATAAAAATATTAATAGAACATGGTTGATCTTTACCTCTGATGTTTTAAGTATATGGTCCTAACAGGATAAGGTCTCTAAAATAAAAATTAAAAAAAATTAAAAGAGCTAAAGAATGTAGCCATATTGAGTTGCTTAGGATCAAGGGTGAAAATTATTCTTAATAGATTCCTTTTTATTGAAATAGCTATAAGTTATTATATTTCAAAACCTATTCAGTTTAGCAAGAATATCAATAAGTAGGTCTTAAACAGGACTTTTCCACTTTTAATCACTGAAAACAATTTACTAAAATAATTATAAAACAATGCATCTTGAGGTAATTTTTTTTGTTCACAATAGAGCCAAGTACCTTAAGTCCTATGCTATAAAGTATTATTAGTTCATAGAATTCATATTGCTAACCCATTGAAAGAATAATTTGTGGGTCCATTGTTATTTTCTTTAAATTTCAAGAGAAAAGGATTCCTCAGATTTTTATCTTTGGGAAAAATTTGGCTATGTGATTTTTGAGGTAGAAAATATTACAGAAGAGAGAAACATTAGGCAGCTCAACAACCATTGACTATGATTTTATACAAAGGAGATTGGAAGAAACAGTGTTATCGCATTGGAGCCAATTTTACTTTCTGGGAAAATGCCATTTAACAAATCAACACTAATTATAATTATAACATGATAAGATGCAAAAGATAGAGGATTCTTTGCTTCCTTAATTCATATAACTTTTCTTATTTAGAGAAGTTGGTGGAGAGAGGAGTAGACCTAAAAAATCATACAAATAGTTTTTTAATGAAAAATTCATTTCTGAGGGCATCTCAATGTTTTCAGCTTTCTTTTTTGTCCTCTGTAATTTAGAACACATATGAGCTGAGAATTGTTTTTATGTAAGTTAGGCAATAAAGCTAATGGCTAAACAAGTTTCCACTTAATCTAATAAGATACTTTTCTTGTTACTTTAGTCGGTGATTTTCCATATGTTGTCCATATTTGATTTCCTAGAATACTTAGGAAGAACAGAGAAGAAGGAATGAAATATGAGAAGAGGTACATCTTAATCCTGAAATCAGAATTGAGTTATTTTTTCACATACATTCTTCTCCTTAAAATGTCTTCATGGGCACACCCATGTACACACACACACACACAGGATGATTATGCATCCAAGTGTCTCACTGAAGTGCAATGAGGGTTGCAGGCCCTGTTCTCATAGGTAACAGTGTGAGGAATGATGGTTGTCAATATATCACTGCTCCTCAGTATTTCTTTCTGTCGCTTTAGTTGAGTGAATTCTCTATGTTTACTTTTATATCTATTCATGGTTAAAAGATGAACAAGTCTGATCAATTATGATAGAATATATTTATATGTCATAGTAAGTAGTAGGAAACCTTTGAGTTCCTATAATATGTAAGGACTTCATTATTTGCCAAGACTACATTAAAGTATCATAACTAAGCCACATACTCAAGGAGATTATAATCTAGTTAAGAGGTTAAAATGTATTTATATATTCTGGCTCCCTGCGTGTCTTTGCTCAAATCATCCTATGACACAAGAAATGTTTTATTGTACATTGCCTTGGGTGAATTTTACTCTGGATATCAGTAGGAAGATTTAGAGTACATTATAGAATTTACCAAAGACAATGTTCAATAACCTAAAAGTCAACCAACGGCACTGTATTCTCATAAAGGACTACATAAGACATGATTTCATTTGTATTAAATAAAACCATAATATGTAGGTACTGACAGTACCATATATGGTTTTTATTTCCACTATCCACGTATATTATGAACTGAGAAAGTGTCGAGATAAGCACGCCTGAAATGAGTAGTGCACAACCCTCTGTGTAATGTATAGACCTGTATAACATATATCATATTTTCCAAACACTGCTTACTGCATTTTCCTATTAATGAATCACAGTGCACATTATTTTTTTGAGGTTTATCTTTGTTTATTCTAGTATATACCAAAGTTATTTCATTCTTGAATGCTTTTTTCATAAGGGCATTTATATAATATTCTTGAGGGCAATTTCAGAAAATTTGTTTTAGATAATCATCATCCTTCTTCCTAAAACATATGAGACTATGAAGTTAGCTTCAAAAGGCCAGTTTGGGTACAAATAAAATTAAGCACTTATAAGATGTATATAGATTGAAAAATATAAATATATTTGGATGACCAATCTCTAAAATATCATTTTTAAAGAATATTAGGGATTCTTGGGTCATATCCTAAATCTTTTGTGTTTGAGATGATTATGCAACAAATATCTTGTCCACTGAGGGATACCACTAACTACACCATAGGTTCTGTGTGAGTTGAAAAAGGACATCCCATCCTCTACATGTATTCTAAGTAGTTCAATCCGAATAGTCTGAAGCGTATGTCGTGTTTTCAAAGTTTATATATACAAGGAAACTATAGTAGAAAAAATACACCATAATGTTTATATTAAGGTAAATAACCTTTTGTAGATATAATGAATTAAGTTATTCTAAAAAATAGTCATGGGCTAAAAACTATTTAAAACTTAATTGCTAGGATGATTCTTACAATATAAAATCAACATGATACTTCAAAGTAATAAGTACCAATAAAAATTTGAGGTTCTTTTTGAGTTTTCTGTTAAATATGCCTTACAATTTTAATTTAGTTTTGGCTAAAATATTCCTCAAAGGATATTTTCCCATCAAACTACAAAATATGCACAGTATATAAGAAGATATGCCATAATTTATAATAAAAATATACATATAATAGAATCCAGGAAGAATATGTTGAGTTTCTGAATTCTCTATGTTTACTTTTATATCTAAAGATGATGTTCATCCAAGAAGTAGCTGAATTTTCATGGTGTATCTCTGAAAACATTTTTTTAATCTTTATCATACACTGATTTCTTTCTAGGCAAACTTATTTCAGATGTTTTATACGAAATCAAGTTTTAAAAGCAAGTTGTAAGCTTAAACCTATAATTTCTCTCAGATGGGACACAATTTTAGAAGCTTGTCAAAATACAATTTTCACCCTGGTCAGTTTTGCTCAGTGGATAGAGCGTTGGCCTGGGGACCAAAGGGTCCCAGGTTCAATTCCAGTCAAAGGCACATGCCTGGGTTGCAGGCTCGATCCCCAGTGGGGGGCCTGCAGGAGACAGCCAATCAATGATTTTCTCTCATCATTGATGTTTCTATCTCTCTCCCTCTCCCTTCCTCTCTGAAATCAATAAAATG